ATAATTATTATTATTATTATTGTAAGATGATGAATAATTCGGTTTTTTTGACGTATTTGGATAATCATCATCTTCATATTTTGAACGTGATATTGATTTCGATGATGAAAATGATCGATCTTCATTATCATATTTTGAATGTGTCGTTGATTTTGATGATGAATAATGATTATCTTCAAATTTCGAACGATTTGTTGCCTTTGTAGATGAAGATGGATAATCATCATCATCGTCATATTTTGATGATGACCAACGATTATCATTATCATTATCTTTTGAACGATTTATTGGTTTTGATGTTGAATAATCATTATTATAGGTAGAACGTGTTATAGGTTTAGATATTGAATTATCATCATCATCGTTATCTTCAAATTTTGAATTAGGTTTTTTTCTTAAAGATGATGATGGACGATCATCATCATCGTATTTTGTATGATTTGTTGTTTTTGATAATGTCCCTCGATATTCATTATTAAGATTTAAACGATCATATGATCGATGATAATTTTTATTATCATCAAAACCATAATTTTTATTTGTTTTAGTTGTTGTTGATGTTTTTAAATAACTATTTTCATCATCATCATCATCATGACGATTATATGGCTTTTTTGGTGTTGTAATTGTATGACGATTGTTTGTTTTATTATATATATCATCATCATCATCATCATCATCGTACATACTTGATGATGGTTTTTTAATATTTGAAGAAAATTTATTTGTTGAAAAAGATGTATTATCAAAACGATTTGTTGACTAGGAAGAATAAAAGAACAAACAAGAAAAATTTTCATTTTTACAACAATTTACTTTTGATTTTTGTTGTCCATAATAATCTTCTTCATCATCACTAACATTATCTCGTTTTGATAATGAACCATTTGTATAAGATTTCGTATCATGTACGAGTGGACTCATATTTCGTCGTTTTGTATCACTTGTTATTGATGATTTTGTATTAAATTTTGGTAACATATCTTCACTTTTTGTTAATTTAAGAGTCGATGATGTTGACCATGGAGTTTCTTCAGGAAATGATTCATATGTTGATCGAAATGCTTTTGGATCGCTACTAGCTGATCTTTTCATCAGCATATCAGTACTCTTATTACCACCTACTAGTTTTTTTTTCTTACTAAAATCATTGATTGACGATGATTTAACATCATTATCATCATCATCGTCATCATCACTAGCAGCTCTTATTCTGTTTTTATTTGTAAAAATATTTGGAAGTTTTTCAGAAGTAATTTTTGAATGATAATCTGTATTTTTAGTTGTATAATTAGTATTTTTTTGTTTTGAATATTTATCATCACTATCATCATCACTTTCGAATTGATTAAATTTTTTATTTGTTCGATTATTTTTTGCTTTTATAACACGTAAATTTAATTCTGTATAATTATCATCAATTGTTCGAATTAACCATGAAAAACCTTTTCGAATTGATTCATCTACTTCATTTTTATCATCTTGAGGTAATGCCGTACATAATTCCTTAGTAAAAATTTCTAATTAAAATTCTCTTTGAAAAATATTCATATGACTTACAATTTTATGTTTTGCTTTTAATTTTTCAATATTAAGTTTACGTTTTAAATCATTTTCATTACTAATAGCTCCTTTTTGATCTTGTTTATTTGCCAAACTAATTGAAAAGAAACAAAAAATTCTTTTTTTCTTTTAAACCACAACAACTTACATAAGAATTGGTTTATCTTTAAGTTTATCATTTTCAAGTAAATCTTCTAAAGTTTCTTGATTTTCACGAAATCGATTTCGTTCACTTGCATCAATTACAAATATTAAACCATATATTTCATCATAATATTGTGACCATGAATATTGACGAAATTTTCTCTCACCACTAACATCAATCATTCGTATACGTTGCTGATTATTATTTTTATTATTACGATCATTTTTTCCATTCAATGGATGTGTTACCATTGTTGAAGTTGAACTAATCGTTGGTGAAACATCATCCGTTGGGTCTGAAGAATATTAAATCAATTCAAAGAATAACATATGAAATGAATATTACTTCCTTCGATCGCTTTAACTGTCGATGTTTTACCTTAATAAAATAAATATATATATGTAAGGAAAACAGAAGTATAAAAAGCAAAGATTTATTACCGGCATCATCAAGACCAAATACGCCGATAGTGATATTCCTAAAGAAAATTATTTTAAATTGAAAACTGCTAATATTTCAGATTGGTTTTTATTCGAGAAAAAATGCAATTTATAAGACTGGATGATTTTTGCTTTTGACAGGCAAAAATAATATAAATCTAGTTTAACAACATTTTTTGATTATGATTGTCAATATAGATTCAGAAAATTCGTTTTCGATCGTTCTTTCTAATAAATTTTTTTTTTTGAATAATTTTGCAGTCTTTTCATATTATATTAACCAGAGAACAAATCCAACTGTTGGACATCATTCGAAACCATATTTTGACAATGAGTAGGACTGATGTCTCTCTGGATTAACTAATCATAAAAAAGCTCATTGACAAGATTGTCATCTGAAATTTTCTTCATAGACAAGTCTCATGACCCATAGAATATTATAAAAATTTCAGTGCAAACGATTATATTTTTCTTGAGAGATCAAGTGTCAATGACAACTCAGTTCTATGGCTTGTCTTGTAATATATTCATTGAACACTCAATATCTCATGAAGAATGCATTCTTTTGAATTGAAATTTGTAAGGCATCACAATGATCATAATACTTGTTTAGGGTAAAATTTCAGATGAAAATCTACTAAAATGATAATAACTCTAACTGAATAATATATGAATCTGGATTCTTTTAGAATTTTCATAATATCCCTTAGCTGTACTCGTACACTAGATGTGCTTGCGAATGACATTCGACAGCTAAATATGTGTCTCCATAAATGCTTTTTATTTATATTATGCTCGAAAAGTATCGAATATCTCAAACATTTTCTCTTCTGTGTTAAGTCATTTAAAGTCTTAAAAAAAATCAACTCTTTAATGTAGGATTAGCCTTTTTATCTACACCTACAACTTAGCAGCTGTTTCCTAAGTCCGTCGAACCTACTTTTATAATTAATGCATTGAGGAAATTTAGCTGTAATAATTATATTGACATTTTACCATAATTGTTTTGCAATATTCCACTTTCTCAGCACAGTAAAATTTTCGAATTTTGAAGTAAAATCTGCTCATATCGAGATTACACTCAGAGAATACGATGCACTCTACTGTTTTGTGAATAACTTTTGATCGGAACATAATAGAGACCTACAATTTTCAACATTTAAAAGAACAAACTCAGAAACATCTCTTCATGCCACAATCTGATTGGTCGATAACCGAACAATGGATAGGACTAATCCTCTCTTTCAGTTTGCGAAATCCCTCAAATTTCTAGCACGTTTAATTCAAGAGCTCCCAAGATTTTTCTGAAATCCCCGATTTCAGCAAATTAAACTTGGAAGGCTTTAGTAGTCTTCCAAAGCTAATTTACTGAGATATCAGAAGTGTCGAGAATGCCCTTGTAACTCTTAAACTAAAGGCATTAAAAAATTACCGCTTGCGTAGATCGGACGAGAAGGACATTTTCTATTAGTTGCTGTAGTCCAAGTCGAAGCTCAATGGAAAACAGTTTCACAATATTTTTTGAAAATCTCCGTACAGAAGTTTCCTAGTAGGTCAATTGTTAAGCGAAGAGATTTTGACATCCATAGATGGCCTTGGGGTTTCTCTCTTGAATGATGCGAACAGTAGGTCTCTATGATGTTCCTATCAAAAGTTATTCGAAGAATAGCAGTACGCATTCCATTTTCTGATTGGCATCCTGATATGTGGAAAGTTTTAGATGAAAATTGAAAAATTTGAGTTTATTGAGAAAGTACACTGTGGAAAAAACAATTATAGGAAAAATTCAAGATCGCAGCCAAATCATAATTTTCTCCGATGTGCTCTTCGACCTTCGTTTACAATCTACGCATCTCTTATGTGTAAATAAAGCTTTAACTTAAAAGCTTTCTATTGCCTGGGGTGACTTTCTTATAACATAATTACTTGTACAAGAATAACTTTAAACTCCTTTAAACAATATATTTCTTAACTATTTTCACCTACTTCTTATCGTCTTTTTGTTGGTTTTCCGGAGATGATTTTGAACTTTTACATGAGGCGGCACCCATACTTTATCTTTAGTTCATTTTATTCTGCCAATTTATTTACCTAAAGCATAAAAGAAAAGAAAAAAAGTTAAAAGTGTAAGTAGAACAGTTAATCGGCAAACATAGTGAATTGTTGTTTTGTTATTTCTCTTCTCACTCTTTCTTTTTTCTTTCAAAAGCAAAAGAAGTTGACAACAGAACACCATCTAACCGATCTGTTCTATGGCAGCAACTGCCAAAAAAAACTAATTTTTTTTTTAAGCAGAGGTCACTAAAAAACAAAAATTTCCTAAATAGTTTACAAAGAATTACAATTATAATTTAAGTTCAACAAGCAATATGATTTCAAATGTAATTAATACATTTCTTACCAATAAATCGAGTAGATTATTTCATGAAAATATATTTCAGATATGTTTAGTGACGGACAAAAGTTTAGAGCAGTTGTATTGTTAAAGTTTTCATCTTGATGATAATGGCTAGCAAGAGCCTGCAAAAAAAGGATTTGTTTAACTAAGAGGATTCTCTATCAAAACTGGCAAGTTCGAAGACTTCAGCAAAACTGTTCGGATGAAGCTTTTGGGAAAGAATTTTATTCGAAAGATTTTCCTTTTCTTGATTTTTTTAAGAATTTCTATATTTTTGTCATATTCGACGCTTTGAAGCTGTCTATAAATTGAATGCAGTTCGATGAATAAAGTTCATGGAAATGTTGGATATGTCTCATTTTGCTTTATCTCATCAAATCTGTTCCCACTAGCTTCGAATGTAAGCCTACTATGAATGAAATAAAAAAGCATTGAGATATATTGATTTATTTATTTATGCACGATCAAGTTTATATCGCATGTTTATTCCTTGTTCATTGACCATACCAATGAATGAGGCACCCAAATTGGAATCAAAATATTCTGCTTTACCTATTGGTTTTGAATTATGCCATAAACCTTTATATTGTGTACCATCTGACCATGTGTATATGCCGATACCATGATAAAAATTTGATTGAAATTCTCCTTTATACGATGTACCATTGGCAAAAGTTAATTGTCCTGTTCCATGCATTTTATCATGATTCCATGAACCTTCATAAATATATTGTTGATTAACACCTATATGTTTACCATGACCATGACGCATCACTTGACCTTCATTGGTAATAATATACTCACCATCATATCGATCGCCATTAGCAAATATGAATGAATCCTTATGAAGTTCATATGGAGCTATAGTAAAGTGGGATGTTTGCGGTCTTGATAATAAACTATCTGTCATAATTGAATATTTATCAATTTTTATTTTTACTACTTCTGGTTTTTTTCTAGTATGTTGATGCAAGAAGAAAATGAGAAACTAAAGATTGTCTCATCAGTTTCTTTTTCTCCTTCGTACATACATTTTAGAGAAAAAGAAAGAAGAATAATAATATTTTCGAAACCTATGGTGTTCACAGTATGCATCATAGCTGATGTCGACAAGAATATAAAAACATTATGAAAACTATTATTAAACTAAATTGACAAGAAGAAATGAATAATATGCATCACCTTCTCCTCATATCGGTACACAGAGATCGAGAAATATAATAAGCTAGAGTACAACGTTCATGGAAAATCACTCTATCTTAACAATTAAACATAATTCTAATCGTCAGAAAAACAAACATGAACATCTTGAAATACATTTGAAACATATAATAATTATTCAATACAACAACATTATATGTTGTAATTATCGGTGTCGATTTTGCAGAATCAATAAACCATTCAAAAATGAATGAACCAACAACTTAAAATTCTTTGTAAATAGAATGATTTGTTTGCTTAGATACAACTTGACATGTTGTCTTTTTTCGAACAAAGCTCACTAGTATGTGGAATAATTTTTGTATGGTATTCGAAGAGGAAGTGATGTTTCTTCTTTGATTCGTAATAAATGTTAATCACTTGAGCAAATTCAAAACAACCAGATGTTTAATAAGTCATGAAGAACAAGTACGGATCTCGATATTCTTATAGTTTGATTATTATGAAAATACACTCTTCATATAAATTTGACTGATTAATCAAGAACTGTCACTCTAACAAAAACTTAGGGTGTTCCAAAAGCCTGTATAGAAATAAAAATTTGAAGAGTTTCTAAATGTTCAAGCGATTTACAAAAAGCATCTCATGATTGCCTTCAATGTTTCTTTAAGTTTTATTTCATATGGCTTTAAATACAGACATGTAATAAAAGAAACGAGTTCACTTGAAAATACAGTATCTTGACGAAGAAAAACTCTTTTCGATTGAAACATTTGCAACATCCTAAGAGTTAATATGTGTTCATAGGCAACAAGTTTGGATCGAAACCCCATGATTTTCTTTTCCAGAAGGTATCTAAAACGAGTCGAAAATTCTGTGAACTGGTCATATATTGGCGCCAAAGGCTTACAAAGAAGAACTATTTAAGACTCTTTCTAGCATCAATGAGACCTAACTGTAATTTCAATATAAGCTGGAACGGAAGGTGTCAATTGAGATAGTTCCATTGTAGATTCTGTTATTATTCTGTAAGTTTTCGAATAAAATTGTCCATTATCCTGACCTTATGACGTCAGATACATTTTTGACAAACAACGTGAACTTCAATGATTTTTTTCAAATTCATTTCCACTGTAGAAGCTTCAGAACATAATCGATCCGTTACGATATACTTTTCACAAAAGCATTGAGAAATAGCCTTAATACTATACTCATGGGGTGTTTCTCTGTCAAATTCGATCGATAATCCTCGTTTTACAATCATCGGTTATTAACAAAGACGTAGCTCAGCACTGGACGCAGAGGAGGGTGAAGGAGAGCGCAGAATAGACAGTTTTCATAAGCGTAAGATGTTTCATTGAGCTTATGAAACGGATGAAAACACATTCTTTTTTCTCAAAACAAATTTTTGAATTCACAAGAAAGTATGAAGTATCTAGGATGACGACAGAGAACTCGTTCTTCTTTTTTAGAAATGATGTTGGACCGTCTAAAGAATGTTCATTAGTTCGAAGAATCCATTCCTAGGCAGTTTTTCAAAGAATATTAAAGAAAATGATGTTACATTGTTGGACTCTTGTGTTAACCTTTCTAAAAAAAGATTACCAATTAAATCATTCCAATAATGAATCCAACGGTTTAGATCGTTTTCTATTCGAATGAAGAACAACTTTGGAGTAGGAAGAAAGTCTTCCATAAAAGAACGAAACGACAAAGAATGCGTTCCAGCAGATGTAGAACGTATTCTTTTCAGTTTGAATGTAGTAGCCAAACTATAGAACGTGGTCATTAACTTTTTTTTGGAATGAACATTTTTTTTTCACTAGAAATATTTGCGAAAAGATGCATAACTGGAATATGAGAATCTCGATGACAAAGCTACAAGATTTTCACACTTAGTCGAAATTGATCGAGCATACTCTAGTGCAGCAAAGTAAAAAAAACTCGACAATGTTATTGTGTAAAAGCCAATGGACTTATTGTAGTAAATTTCTAATAGACGCCTATGTCGTTGACATTCTATTGAACCAAAACTTTTCATGACTTCGATATTGGTCACATAATTACAATAATTTCATTGGGTAAAGAGGTGAAAAGCATTGATATTAGATATATATTGAACATTGAAAGTTAAAGCTAATTCAACATCCGACCAAATAATATAAGAGGAAATATATAAATATTTATGAATAATGTCACTCACCTGTGTTCAATTTATTCTTTCTTGTAGGATAACAACGGACAGAGAAATAGTATATTGTTCATATATAATACATTATGAATAAACGAGAGACTTATCGATATGCTAAATGTGCTTTGAAATAATTCGATTGATCAGGATTATAATAAATAAGAATATCACGATAAAGAATCTTAGTCAACCTTTAATCTTGACTTACGAATTTTTTTACTGTATTTTTCTGAAATAGAAGAATGTGTTTTCTCAAAACAATAGTCGTGGCTCAAGGCATTGTATTGGTATAGTTTCGAAATTATGCAAACACATGTAAATATGGTGAAAATCTTGTAAATTATATGAAGGCTATATGTACAATTTTTTTCTCGATATTATTTCAATAAAAATCATCAAAGAAACCTTTTATCTTAATTTAATTCTGCATTGTAGATGTGACTTTTTTTTGCTTTGGATCAGAACTCTTGTTGTGAAGCCATGTGATTTATTAACTTTCACGGTGTTACATTTATGAAAAATAAAATTCTACAAAAGTCAAACAGCTTTCCAAAGCCTTCGAAACCTAAGTTGTTATTGTCGTACCACGACGTACATATCTAGTTTGAAGTTGTGATTGAACAGGGTTGTTTTTTTCTCAGAAATCACATTATAAACATATCTTACGTATTGAAAAAAATTATTTTCTACATATCTATATATCAAATCTTAAAATATGTCATGAAAAAAAGATCTGGAAATCACTCATAATTGTCGTATATTTTCGATTTTGAATTAATGCATTGCTATCGATATAGATCAATAGAAAAAAGAGCTAATGTATACTCTTAAATTTTTTAGAACAAAACTGGTTTATTACAGCATTATGTGACATGAAAGTTGTTCAAGTCGACGAATGTTTCTTTACGCGGATGCAAACATTTTATAAAGGAAATAGGGTCTAATTTTATAACTAAAAAATGAATCAAAACAAGAAGACAGAATAGAATCTTTCGACCTTTTGAATCAATAAAATATCATTTTAATGATCTCATTTGGTTCATTGTCAGTTCTGTTCAATATTGTCAAACTACTTCTTCGAATCATCTCATCTATTATTGTCTTGTATCAAACTAGTACATTCTCTTAAACTGCAGTTTTTAGGATCATTTCTTGAATAAAGTATGTCCAGCAACTCACTATGACTAATGATAGATGTCATAGGTCCACTCTTATCATTAGTGACATGATATGCAGTAAAAGAATACAAATACACAATCAATGTAATTTATCAAGAAATGAATATAGATTAATAAAGTAGTACACTGACTTTGTTTTAAGAAACAATTGTAGATGTTTTTTAGCATTTTTCACCAAAAATTCTCTTTAGAAAGTTCGAATAGAATTTTGATTATTGACAATGGTTAGCTTTAAATCAAAAGATGAGAAAGATATGTAAACGCATCGTTTTCTTTGTCGTTTCATATTCACATGGGTCTATAAGAAATATTACTGTTATCAAATGGCAAAAAAATGATGTAAGACCACAGACACCGGATTGTCTGATAGCGAACGAAAGAAGTTTCGTAAAAGCGGCAAAGTTCTAGCCAAGATAGACATCTCTGATTTCTAAGCAAAAATGTATAAAATAATTTCACGTTGAAAACATCATTATCTTCCGAACGTATTTTTAATTAATAGATTTGTTTCAACACGAAATTTATTCTAAATACAAATTGGAACAAACAAAAAACTAAAATAAGCAAAAAACCATCTTGTTGTTGGAAATTCTGCCGCAAGAAGATTTATGGCAATATATGCTTCAATTGGTGTGCGAGTGTTGCAGCATTTTCTATGGCAACAGTTCACTTCTTTTTTTTGTTGTTTATTGCGGATAAATTCAATCTCGAACTTGTAATTGGTCTAATACATTTTTATGAATTGCTTTTTGATATGCATCATACGAAGGTCGCGGAGTTTTGGGCGCAGAGTGAACCTAATTGTATTTGATCTATTGGATGATAACTAAATAAAGAAAAAGAAAGTTTTAATATTAAATATAGGTTCAATAAATTATAAGCCGAACATTTTGAAGTACGTTTCTCATCGTATATTATTAATACCAAGAGTGTATAGAGTAGTATAGGACATAAGAAATTTTCATTGCAGTTTGGTAAAATGAAAGGAATTTTCAATTTTTCTTACATTTGTGGTTTTCGTCGGTAAGTGTCTTCCGTTCGCGTGAACGACAGCAGATATTGATGATATGTTTCTTTGTATATTAATTAGATAATCTGTATGTTGTTCAATACGTCTACGATGCTGTTCTTTTCGATAACATATCCATATTCTTCCACCTACTCCACGTATACAACACAAAATCATTAAAATAAGTGCCAAGCCGGCACTTATAGAATCTGATGATGAATCATTGGACGAACTACTTGAGGAATATCTAGAAGTACTATACTTGAATTTAAAAATAAAATATGCGATTTTATGCTTCTGCAGTATTTTTATACCTAGTTTCAATTTCATTCCGCGGTTTTGACCTTCAGCATTAACAGACAAAACGAAAA